TAAATGCGAAAATTAATCATGTAAATATACATCGAGGGAATCTCTACATCAGAACTGTCTGGAGCAGGTGCAAGGGATATTGTTTGATCTACCACTGAGTTTGTTTTGAAATTATGTTTTCGGAGAACCTTCCATAGATTTAATCAAAATTCAAAAATTTCATTTTCGGGTAGTAGATCGCGGAAACTCCGTAATATTATGATATTCTCAGGTGATGAATTCCACAAAAAGCCGCTGCTGTAACTTACACTGCGTTTTAAAGTCAGACGTATAAATCATGTGAGGCCAGGTATGCTACGATAATTAAGTTTTCCGAGCTTCCGCCGATCTACGGCATTATCAGGGATCGAGAAGCAGGTTTGAGCTAGTATCACAATCGGCCTATAAAATTGCGCTAGCTGCTCGGTTCTGTAATTTTTGTAATTTGTCGCTCAATTTATTACTTAAGCCGTTCCAAACGAGGCTGCAGTAATTAAAGTGAGGTTGCGTATGTACCTGTATAGTTGTAGATTTGGAAATTAGAGGCCTGATACGTCTAAGGACACCTATCGCGGAAGATACCTTCAACAAATTTTGTCAACCATTGTTAGACCAGGTAAGCCGATCGTCGACACCTAATGATTGAGCGTGATCGCTACATTTAAGCTAAGCTTATTGGCAAAATATATTATTGCGGGGAGAAGTTTGTGTTTAAGATTCCAAAGATACCAACCCATAAAATCGTATTGGGGAATATATAAATTAAATAAATATAAATTCACATTAAACCTGCAAGCTAATCAACGAACTGAGCTCAAGCAAATGTTGCAGAAATCGAAATGTTAACCAAATCAAAAGTGATAAGGAAACTGCAAATTTTGCAACAGATATCACGGAGGTTTTCAATTATTTTTTCACATCTATCGGACCAAATCTAACCAAATCGACCTTCAAAGATATCTGCAAGCCCACTAATACAGCTTTTTCTTTAAAAGCTCCAACCGCAAGTACAGTGTGCGAGCTACTGAGTCAGCATGACTAGAAGAAAGCCTTGGGATTGGATATAGTTCCTTGTACACTCCTGAAATGAGCTAATTCCATTCTGTTAAAAGATAAAATTGGCATCGAGCAAGAACATGGCACTGAGTATTTGTATTTGCTATATTGATTCACCTTGTTCAATATGCGTGGTGTTCAGTTAAAAAAAATTCAGAAAGCTGTGTACGATTTAGAACAAGATCTTCAGTTGAACAATACTTAAAGGTCTATAAGGATAAATCAACCTCAAAAATAATAAAAAATTCACCGGTCCAAAGAATGGTCCGAAAGTGGCAAGACCTCACTTGGAATCAAGAATTTCAATATTCATTTTTTCAAAAGTTTTTCTAAGCAATTATAGTTAAAACTATGTTTAAAAAATTTCAAAAATGTTAGTGTTCGAAGGTGTACCGTATCCTTAAGGCTTGGAGGTCAGTTGTCTTCCAAATCAATTATCCCTTAACGTATTTATTTGCTCGAAAGGTCTTCCTCAATCGTAATGGACGAGAAGCTCACTGTTTTCAGGGCAGGAACAAAGGATGGGCCTTCGTTTTCGTTTTCTAGTGACCACAGCGTACGAGGTATGATAATGGTCAGGGCAATGATGACACGCACGTAAATATATATCTGCGCATAGAAAGTATTTATTTGCTCGAAAGGTCTTCCTCAATCGTAATGGACGAGAAGCTCACTGTTTTCAGGGCAGGAACAAATGATGGGCCTTCGTTTTCGTTTTCTAGTGACCACAGCGTACGAGGTATGATAATGGTCAGGGCAATGATGACACGCACGTAAATATATATCTGTGCATAGAAAGTGCCAAAAACGTAAGAATCATGCAAAGCGTCATCAATGTTTTGACGTGCTTGCTTCATAGATACTAGCAGAACGATAGCTGAAAGCAAACCACGGGGATTCAGATAGATAATGTTGAACCGAATTAACATTAAGACACCAGTCAGTTCAATTACTGTTTTGAAGCAACCCCAACTGCTTTGACGAGAATGTATACACTCAATTGCAAAAACGATCACATGAAAAAGCGTGAGCAAGGAACGATGAGACCCAATGACTTTACGAGTACACATGTACATGATTACCCCAATCAGTTGCACGTACATGGTAAATGATTGAAGCCATCCATGCTTTCCTGAAAGGAAATAATTATCGTAAACAGAGATTTTCATAATAATGAAAAACAAGAGAACATCAACTGTTGATGCTAGACCCTTGCCAAGCTTCTAGAAATTTCCAGAAATCCCGTCCTTATGGCAACTCTCCACTTCCTGAAATTAAAGATTATAGAAGAATGGTGTAAAATACAAAAAAGGAATTGATATAAAATCGCACAAATTAACTGTCAAAGCCATCTCTCCTTCCGCCTAAAGAGACCCTTCTTATGAGAAATAACGTTAGGTTTTATTCCAGAAAAGAATGGGGCCGTCCAACAACCACATGATGTCTGGATGGTTACCGAGCCTAATCTGTACTTTCCTCTCGATCAAAGAGGAAAAACCACTGTTCGTTTGTTCAAAGCCGATATTTGGCCGAGTGACTTTGATGAGGTAAAGGTGAAAAACCACTCCAAGTTCAGTGGAATATGCGTTGCTGAAGTGAGTTGTATAGAGGCCTCAGTACCTCCTTGATATTGTGTATAAGAATAATATACCTGCTTTGTAATGTTATATTATGTTGCAAAAAAGGGACATGGACAATTTTGACGACAAATTTCCGCTAAAGTTACTCTAACAACTCATTTGAATATACTTGACACAGCTGAGTGCCTAAAAAAACGGTTATCTAAGAGGGCGGCATACGAGAAATTTTTACCTGCACTCTCCTCTACTAAACACAAAATTCTCAATTTGCAGCGAGCTCAATTTCAAATTTTTGTTCAGCTCTCAAATTATACTAAAATGGTCAATCACCTGAGACTTAGTAATAATCGTCAGATAATGTTTACTACCCCTCCGCGGGCTAACCAACTTTTTTTTTGTAAGTACATTAAGAGGGATCTGATGATTTCTATCTTTTTCTTGAAAGTGGTAGCATAAATTGTAGCATAGATTAGGAATGATTCCTCATCATACTGCCCCCTATACTCTGATCCTCACAGTGCAGAGAGGGCACAATTCTATGTGAATCCGTAAAATCTCTTCTCTTCTTCTCAACTGCTCAATTGTCTTACTTTTTACTAGATCCATTCTGTTCCAATGAAAGCTGTTCGCTCTGAAAAAAGACTAACGCTCGAAAAGTCAGCTTTGAAACTCTTCACAGAGCCCAATTTCCGTTAATAACCCAGTTGAGAAAACTAAATTACGGTTATGTTCCAAACTCTTTTATTTTCCATCTAAAACTGCAGAGTGAAAGTATAAAACAATTGAAGGAACAACTGGAATCACTGGATTGGAAAGAGATAAAACTCAAAACGTGCGACGGTGGAATGTCTCGCATGGATTTTAGCACACTCGTAAGAGCCGTTTTGGTGTACATGAAAGACCATTACCCAACCACACCTGATGAATACAACTTTCAAGCTGAATTAAAGGCCGCGAGTCATTGGTATTGGTATCCAAAGAGCAATGAAAATCCTGGCCACGAGGAAGAAGCTTGTACCTCGATAAAGCCTCCAGAACTTGTCTCTGGTCCCCACAAAGACAATCGTGTGAAAATAGCAGCACTGGAGACTTGCAGGAAATGGATCAGTGTTCTTAAAGGGTTAAAAAAGGAATCATCGCTAAACAAGAGATCTAAAAGGGTTAAAGAAGATGAGGAGTCGTCACCTGACGAGGATGAAAATGAGGAACGCATTTATGGTATGTAACTTTTAAACACTTGCGTTAAGTTTGAATAAAAAGATTAGATTTCTGTTAATTCAGTTGCATTCCAAGGGACCTGGTAAGCATATTATCCGTGACTTCTACCTCCAAAACAGAAAAATAAGTGGTAGCCAGCTGAAGCCAAATCGATAGTGCTTAAAGTGCTGATTTCTAACAATATTATCATTTTACGAACAACCCAGCTACACGAATTTTATGATATTGCTGTTGGCGGAGATCACTCGGTCGAATTCTTGGTTAGATGGTGTTCTATACTTACTTAATGAAATATTCCTTTATTTTACATGATCTTATTTCAGTCTTACTATGTTTATTAATTCTTCAACTATTTATAGATCTCGAGGAAAGCATTTTTGATTTGAAGACATACTTTGATTTCAAAGGTAGGTCCTCCTATTTACATTTTTCAAGTTAATCTAAATACCCTTGTCGAAAGAAATGGTTTTCTTCCACGAAAATAAAACTACAGATTTTGTCAACTAAGAATAAGAACTTCAGCAATACCGACAGACAGTTTTTCAGTCGCCCTACTTTGTATGTCTCTCAGTCTGCATATCTGCCATTCGATCACCCCGTCACACTGTTACTCTGTCATTCTGTCACTCTGTCATTCTTTCACTTTGTCACTGTGTCACTCTCTTATTCTGTCACTCCGTCACTCTGTAACTCTGTCACTCTGTCCCTCTTTTACTCTGTCACTCCGTCACTTTGTCATACTATCATTCTGTCACACTGTCATTCTGTCACTCTGTTACTTTGTTACTCTGTCACTCTGTCACCATGTCACTCTGTCACTCTGTCACTCTCTTACTCTCTTACTCTCTCACTCTCTCTTCCCCCTTCTCCCTCTCTCCCCACTCTCCCACTCTCTTATTCGCTCACTCTCTAAATGTGCCATTTTGCCAATCTGCAAGGTTATTGGCCCGTCAGTCTGATCAATTAGTCAGTCTTCTATTCTCTCGCTGCCTCAGTCTCTCAATCTTCCATAATGTTTGTCTGTCAGCTTGTCATTTCGTCAGTCTGCAAGTCTGTTTAACATTATTTTGGTGTCTCCGCTATTTTGTTAATTTGACTGTCTGTCGGTCCATCTACCTATGTATCTCGCACTTCTTCGTCTTTGTTTTTCGTTCTTCCTCATGTCAAACTGGTTGTGCTTGCCCAAGGGCGCGCCCTCCATCTATCTGATTAATGTTTACGTTTTACATTTTAGACGATGAACTAAGCAAAAGTAGAACTGAAGTCACTGGGAAGCATTCGTCAGTAAAGAGTAAGATGGCTTGTCCGACAAAAGTCGTCGGAAACCAAAAAAATTGCACGGCGGAAAACTGTACGTGTGAAGGTTAGAGGTCAAGTTATTTCCCAAACCAAGGGATTAACGTCATTAACCAGACTCCATTTCATCAAGTTCAATTAGGCACATAGTTTGATACATCTCTTAAGTACATGTGTAATGGCTTAAATATCAATTTTTTGCAAAATGTTGTGGATTTGTTGTCGTTGTTGTAGTTGTTTTTTTTGCAAGTTTCTGTTATCATATTCAAATGACTTATTTCTATAAGTAAAGGCTATGGACTGACTGGAGTCCAATTTGGTATGTAATCATACGAGTTGTTAATCGAATTGGACGAACGAAGTCTTATTACCAATTTTTCTTAAGAATTACAATTTCCGAGAAAGTAAGAATAGCCAGGTTATGAAAGAAAGGGAAAATTTTCGCTAAAAGACTGACAAAGGAGGCGTAGATTGTTTAATGGTTGTGATTAGTTGATTTAAACTACAACCTTGAATGTGATTGGCTTATTGAACTGTTCGATAACAAACTGTTTGATAAGAACTTGGCAAGTGAATTAGTGGATGATATGAGTTTTTTTAAACCAATCACAATCGAGGAAATCGTAATTTTTTATGAGTAACAAATTTATAGCTATAATTTCTTATTTTAATTTTTTATTTTTATTTTTTTTACTTGCTTCGATCTTTCTTAAAATTCTATTTTTCTTTTATTTCATTTGGAAATCTTCCATAAGCATCGAAAACGTATATAAACTCTACTTAAGTACATATCTAAGCAATTTCTTATTGTACAAATCGATTCCGAGAACCATATTTTGGAAGAATCTCTTAACAAAAAAATAGTGGTATGTACTTTTAAGCATTCCTATAAATGAGGGGAACTCCGACGTTCTCAAATAAGAGACCAAACGAACGATATTATATTGATCCTTCTAAGATCTTTGTCTGTCCTTAAATCGCTGACATGATTAATAAACTTTTACCAACACAACATAAAAGAGTCTGCTTATTTTGTTCCATGCTTATTTACTCACCTATCTAGACATTTTGCTCTGTCCAACGAGGGCGTAAATTCCTTGAACTGATTCAATGAACTTTGCTTTATAATCTTCCATCGCTTCGCGTTCCACAGAGTTTTCCTGACAGATTTTCTCCCTTAGCAAACTTACTGATGTCAAGTCTCAGCAATTAGAGGACTCTTAAGTTACTCTTAGATCCTAAGATCTTCTTGGTTCGTCCTTGCATTATCGGTTAACAAAAAATTACCGGGCAGCCTTTGGGTTTGTATATTTGATTCGGTTTTTTTTTTTTTTTTGGTTTTCTTTTCAGTCTTTGAGGTTTTCGTTTGTTTGTTTGGTGTTTTTATTTTGCGGCATATTTTTTAATTCGTCTACCAAATGACACCTGCGATTTCTGTTTTTATGTTGACTCATACGAGCTAGTAACATCATTTCGCTGATTTAAATAACAAAGCACGCGTCAAGCATCATATCGAGTTGATCTCGCTCTGTTGTAATGTATGCGATCTTTGCTTTAAGCAGGCTACTAGCTGATTCTAGCTCCTCAGGGGCCTAAGAATGAAACTAATTACATTAAACCAGAATACCTCCAAAATCGAAAGAGCAATTGCTCTTTTCTCTCCTGATTGAAACGTGAAATAGTAGATCCAAAGCCACCACTCTTGTGAAGGTCTTCCAAAGAGCACGGTTTCTGTTTAGTGGGTTTTCCACAAGTTATTTCTGGCATTTCCTCCAAGGAAGGCACCCAAGCATCTAAAGGAAACAGGATGGGAAAGTTATTAGGTTGAAGACGAAATATGCTTTGCATTAAACGGGAACAGATCGATGCATGGGTGGTTTAACTTATCTTGGCTAGCGTAAAACAGAACAGTAACAAAGCCGAAAAATATGCCTCAACGAAATCATTTCAGTGGAAAAGTTGAATTTGATGTGCACAAATGAAAAAAGCAAAAATTACCACGAAACCTTAAGAGGACCTATTATACTCTTTGGGTTAGGAATTATAAAACTGGGCCAACTGACTTCGAAATGGTATGAGTGAATTTGAAACGTGATGTCAATTAGTCTTGACTGTTTGTCAGAGCATGTGGGAAAATGCATTCATTTGAATAGGAGAATTTTTTGCAGATTACCCGACTGATTTCCTATTGCTAAGAACCCCCCTCTTTAAGGTCAAACCTCTTTAGAGCAAGGAAATTTGTAAAAAGCCCTTTGAAACCTTATGGGCCGGAGGAAAATCAAGGATTGATTTCACGCGTACTCTCAAAGTTTGCACATGACAAAGTCACTAAGCTATCTAACGATTGTATAATTTTACCACTGTCTACCTAGTGGAAATACTAAACCGATAGTATCCGTAAACAAAGGGTCTGTTTCGGCTTCGTAAGCACCAATATACTTATAAACAGATATTATAAATCAGCAAAATTTCCAGAAACCGGATTACGAGAGAAACCAATAGCAATTAACTCAGACGACGTGCGCTCAGCCAATCAGGATCGAGTAATCAAATGCCTCCTGATTCAGCAATTAGCATTCAGAAATTTTGCCCATATGTGGGGCAGTTATTCAAACCAAACGTTCAAGAGCTCTACATTGATGAGTTTTCCCTAGCAGGACCTCTACTTCTCAACCTTGAAACATATTCGAAGCTTTGATACCCACGATCAAACAACATAACAGCTGATCAATGAGGACCTATGAGGGAATACCGTCTAACAGCTGGAATAATAATGAGGATCGAAATGAATCCGTGTACCTTAGTGCCAACCGATGTTCAATTGTAAAGGAAAATGAAACACAAATTTTATTTCCGCTTTTCGTTTTTTTTTCTGCCGGGAAGGAAACGGAATTCAAATTCACCTTATTTTTTTTTCCTAACTTTTAAAAAAACGGATTTTAATTTTCTTTTTCGTTTTTTCGTTTTCGTATGGAATTTTGAAAACTTTTTTGAAAACGGCCAATCGCAGTAAAACTGACAATCTTTGTTTAAGCGGGAAAATTTAGGAAACTAAGATGGCGGCGTTAGAAAATGTCGTAGATAAAGACTTTGTCTGCCGGTTTCTTATCGAAAAGAAACCTACTTACGAGGAGCTTGTCACTGAAATCAGGGCTTGATATCCGAATCTAAAGGGGTGTATCTGTGAATCTATCACGTGACGAAATACTTATAAAATAGCCTGATAGAGATTTAAAGCAGAATCTCAAAATCTACTTAATTCAGAAAAGACTTCGAACGACAAACCTCGTGAACCTGCTTCTAGATCGTCGGGCGATAACACCCACTGAACCCACTGGTTATCCATTTCTGGAAAATATTTTTCTGATATTTGATCATATTTAAATAGAAAAATTATATTTTGACCCGTGGATGGTAAATAGTTGAAGATATGAACCTCACATTAGTGTGCATGATATTTAATAATGAACGTTAAAACGGAAGTTTAAGAAATTCTTGGTGACGTTGTGTAGAAATATGTTTCTTAAATTTCCGCATATTCATCATTCATCATATCAATTAAATATCATGCACACTTCGGCAGCGATAGTTTACCCCTTATCTAAGACATCTGGTATAATAAATTGGTTATATCTTACGTGAAAATCGTATCTTAGGCTCTCTTCCTTGATCTCTCCTGCAATCAACTTTTCTTAACGATCGTCGTCGCGCGGCTTTATCTTGTTCTTGACAGCTCTCCTGACAATAGCCACTCGTTCATAGCCACATCTTATAAATTGACATCCCTTTGATATCTTTTGCCCATAGTTAAACAAAAAACGTTCTCCTACTTAAAGGAGTGTGAGGATTCGTCTATTTCTTGCTATGATGTAATAGATAAGTTTGAATCAGTTTTCAGTCATACAGCTGCAACACACCTTGAATCTATTATGTGACGAAAAACTAATAAAAAGCCCGACAGAAATTCAAAGCAGAATCTCGAAACATATTTAATATAGAAAATAGAGGAAGCCTGACAAAACCAGGCTTAAATAAATTTCGCACACCAGCTTTTAGATCGTCGGGCGATAACACCAACTGAACAGGGTTATCCAGAATTATCCAGGTTATCCCAGAGGTTGGCAAGGAAACAGTAAACTTTTAAAACGCGCGTGCTGAGCTATATTCCTGCTTAGAAAATTATTTCCTAGCAGTTTCGATGCCGCCATAGCAATGAACAGCTTGTTATTCAAGTTTGTAAATAGTTTAAGGTTTATCCCGATCACCGTACGTTTCTCAATATTGTATTATTGTATTATCCATTTCCGTAGAGGTACTTTTCTAATACTTGATGATAGTTAGATGAAAAATATTTGGAATTTATTTATATTTGGATTAAAAAAAAAAAGCCGGAAAAACCAGGTTTAAACAAACTTTGCACACCTGCTTCTAGATAATCGGGCGATAACACTAACTGAACAGGATTATCTAGAACTATTCAGGTTATACCACAGGTCGGTAAAGAAACTATTAAACTAGTAAACTTTTAAAACGCACATGCTGAGCTATTTTATCTACTAAGAAAATTCATGGTAATGAAGATATGAACCTCACAGAAGAACAGAGAGAAATTACAAAAAGAAGCCTCGTTTATTTTTCAGCCTTCTTATCTTCCTTTTAATTGGGAGTGCAATTTCAGTCGAAAGATGGTTGATCGAATAAATGAATTACTTTTGGCACGGCACGGTGAGGGCGTTAAGATCCATATTAGAAATTAGAATTATTCGCCGTAGGGCCTTCCATTCTCAATGTTTTCACTGTGGTTGCATGGTGTTATTTCCTAGAGGTCGGCAAAGAAACTAGAAAACTTTTAAAACGCGCGCACTAAGCTATATTCCTGCCTATAAAATTATTTCCTAGCAGGCTCGATGCCGCCGCAGAAGTGATCAGATTGTTATTCAAGTTTATACTTAGTTCAAGGTTCATCTCAATTACCATACCGTTCTCAATGTTTTTATTCTGATTGCATGATTTTATTTCCCGGAGGTTGGCAAGGAAACCAGAACTTGAAACCTTTTAAAACGCACCTGCTGTGTTATTTTCCTGCTCAGAAAATTATTTCCTAGCATCTCTATTTTGTCATTCAAGTTTGTGATTAGCTAGAGGTTCGTCACGATCATCGTACCGTTATCGATTTTTTTCGGAATCTAAAAATTGAATGCGCCCCAAATATTTATGCGTTAAGTTTCCAAATTTAAGTACACAAATGAACTCAAGATAACAAGCTGAGGTGAGTCCAATTTATTTCGCTAAAAGCCCAGTAGGCGGACTCGGTTTTAAATATGAGGCTGCCCTCACTCTTGGTACTCGACCACGATGCCCGATTACTATTCTTGATGGCTTCCAATGTGAACACAGCTTGGTTTTCATGTGCCTGCCCCAGAATTTGGGCACCGTGCACGTGCCTGAGCACCATTTTGTGTCAGTGCCCTGACACTAATGCTCGAGCACCAAGTGTATATATACACCAAGTGTATATATGTATTAGTGTATTAGATTAGTGTAGGTGTACATTATTTTTACCCTAAAGTTTCTTTTTTTTGTAAGTGCTACTACAGATACGTTGTTCGCCACGCTTTTTAAACACTGTCTGCAATGAATGTCAACAATGAAATATGTGGTAGAGCTTTTCCCAAGGTGGGCTTCTTCCTTTCCAAGCATCTAAAACTTTTTCTTTGTTGTAGGTAAGTTCCCGTGTACTTTTGTCAGTAATAAGATTAGGTTTACGATACGTTTTCATAGAAGATTTTTGATAAAGTGATTAAATTGTTATAAAGAAGGGTCGGAGTATTTTTTTTTTTCTGTAGTTAACATTAACATAGAAGTTTCCGGTCTTGAGCGGAAACACCGAAAAGGAGGGTGCCACTGAGCTTTGATTTAAATTTTATCCAATTTCTTTAGCTGAAATCTTACACTTTTTTCACGATGTAATATTTGCCCTTACAATCTTTTAACAGTCGGAACAATAGAGGTTACGGGTAAAACATATAAACGAATTAGTTCCTGTCTTTGTAAGACCATAATAACACAGAACTCAGTAGATTCAAAGCGTTGTTCGGCCGTGAGCATGTTCAGTTTTTAAGGGAGAATCCAACAGTCACGAAACGCGATAAATATTCAATTGTGTAAAACACCAAGAACAGAAACGGAGTTTAGCAAGCATCTTTTCGATCAAACATAAATTCAAGTTTGAAAACGAAAATTGATCGACTTAGTTCAGCGAGGTTTTTTCTCTGTCTGCTTCTATTCAACAAAGGTTTACAGCTATGTTTTCCTACTGGAGTTTAAAGTTGGCATCGAAAATAGTTTTAGCCCACCCATGAGATAACAAATCAAATGTATTTCAGATAATGTATTTTCGTTTCAAGATAGCTGTGGTGTTCGCACGCGTTCTCGTATAGTCGGAGGCTACCAAGCTGCTCCTCATTCTTGGCCTTGGCAGGTCATGCTTATGACCTCTGATTCGCGTGAGCCTTTCTGCGGAGGAACGTTATTAAGTGAAGTTTGGATCATCACTGCAAGCCACTGTTTGGACCATTTGATTGAAAAAGATGTTATAGTAAGGTTAGAAAAGTTATATGTCGAATGCTGTAACAAGTGATATTTAACATTCGTTCGATCCAACATTTTCTTTGGCTCGTAGAAAACTCTTATTCTCTAAATGTAAACGAAAGGACATGTAGTGTTTTGCCAAGTTAGTGAAACTGTGTAGTTCAGAACTGTGCACTATAAAAGAATTCATGGTTGCCCCATCAACAATGGACTGAAATGCATACGTTGTCGTGTACAACCGTCAGGGTTTTCGCAATCGAAATCATTAACATTCGTTATTTTTCCCTTTCATGCACTAAAACGGTAAAGGAAAGCGATGATGCTTTCTCGGTAGAGATTGATATGAAACTTGTGAAAAAATAAATAAATATATATTATTTACCGTAATTATTTGTCATTTAGAGCAGGTGCACATCACCGAACCAAGCTGAATAAGTGGGTGCAAGACTTAAAAGTGCGACAGATTTATCCACACCCGAAGTACGACGATCCCGTTATGTTCGCAAATGATGTGGCCTTGCTCCTGCTGGACCGACCAGCCCAGATAAACAGTGCAGTCCGCCTAATTTGTTTGCCTGGCAAGAATGACCGACCGAGAACAGATTGCACGGTGACCGGTTGGGGTCGTCTAGATGATTTTGGTCGTCGTCCAGACTACCTTATGCAAGTAAATATACCATTCAAAGATGAACATGTATTGCTTTTAATACGAATTAAAAGTTCAAAAATAAAAGCATATTTTCGAATGCAGTACATCTTCACCGTTCAGGCAAGCGGAAAGCAAACAACTGTTCATTTTAAGCATAATTACAACAATGTCGAAAAGCAGTCTTGATAGACTCAGTCGCGCAAACTTTTAGCCGCGTTTGGTGAGACGTTAACCTAAAGGCACAGGTTTCCTTTTCTTTCTTTTTTTATCTTTTTGTCAGGTGACCGTTCCAATCGTGCCCTATTCCACATGCCGAGAGATCTATTCAGGAGAGGTCCACGAAAGTATGCTGTGTGGAGGACATCTAGCAGGCGAAAAAGATGCTTGTACAGGCGATAGCGGCGGACCATACGTTTGCGAGCACCAAACCAGCATTTGGAAACTAGAAGGAATTGTCAGCTGGGGTTACGGCTGTGGACGGGAGGACAACCCTGGAGTTTATACCAATGTCTCTCACGTACGTGAGTGGATAAAAAATGTGTCAGGCATATGATACCATCGACGAATAGCCACTATAAATGATTTTATGGCTTTTGATTGGTTGACTCCTATAGACAATACTTAAAAAAAAAACAGGTAAATAAGAGACATTTGAAATATTTGATCAACTTTGTTGATATTGGACCAAATTTTTTTTATTTGTTTGCCTTTTCGCTGTTCTTTTATAATGATACCTCGTTTATCTTCTTTAGTCCACACATGGCAATGTCTTTGGACTTTCAAGGTATTTAAATTTCGGTGACTCATTTGCAGTAGAGCCGTCCTATTCACTAGGCTGACCAATCCACTATCAATTTCCAGTGTAAATACCCTAAACGGTCTAAAAAAGAACCCGTGTAGAAATGAATTTGAACAACTAGAGCATAAACATGACCCTTTTCTCGAGTGACTCTTAAATTAAAGCTACGAACCTGCTGGAGATAAACACTTGCGCAAACAAACCGGAAAGTGGATAGGAGCACTGAGTGATTGACATGAAGAATATTATCGATTGAGGATAATTCATTTGAGATGTTTCGCACAGTTTTCTAGGCTGCAACATAACTCAAAATTAAATCATAAATGCCTCTCACCAACTCACTCACATGATATCAAACAAACAAATAATGACTTAAAGTAGCTTCAGAGTGTCATAACACTCGTGAGCTTTGACTCCTTTTAATATTAATTAAAATTAATTGATATGTTTTCTATATTCCACATTTCGTTATTACACAATTTGTAACTGGACTCTACTTCTCTACCTAAATGCGATGGACGATTTGCTTTGAGTGAAATAGGGTGAGAGCACTACACCTACCAAAATTACAACGTATTACCCAAAAACTGATGTTTTTTCTTTATAGTGTAATAGGAATCGTATCTTCATAGTTTGTATTTTGAAAAGCAAAGGGCGGGGAGGCCTTTGTTCTTTGACTACTTGATATACCTACGTTTTCATCCAGCTATGAATTCTGAAACATGGGTGAGCTAGAGCAGCCTTGTGACGAAAAAAAATTCGATATCTTTTATGATATTTTACATTTAATTATACTACAATAAAGAAGAAGGGACAAGAAATTGCTCATTTCTCTTTTGATAGAAAAGTGAAATAGTAGATCCAAAGCCACCACTCTTGCGAAAGTCTTTCAAAGAGCACGGTCTCAGTTTAGTGGGTTTTCCACAAGTTGTTTAGGACATTTCCTCCAAGGAAGGCACCCAAGCATCTAAAGGAAATAGGATGGAAAAGTTATTGGGTTGCAGATGAAACATGCTTTGCCTCAGACGGAAGCAGATACATGCATGGGTGTTTTATCTTACCTTGCTGGCGTATAAAACAGAATAGTAACAAAGTCGAAAAATATGCCTCAACGTAACCAGTTCAGTGGAAAAGTTGAATTTGATGTGCACAAAACAAAAAAAGCACAAATCAAGTACGAAACCTTAAGAGGACCACACTGTTTGGGTTAGGAATTATAAAACTGGGCCAACTGACTTCGAAATGACATGAATGAATTGGAAACGTGGTGCCAAATTAGTCTTAACTGTTTGTTAGAATAGGTGGGAAAACGCATTCAATTGAATAGGAGAATTTTTTACAGATTTCCCGACTGATTGCTTATTCCTAAGAACCCCCCTCTTTAAGGTCAAACCTCTTTGGAGCAAGAAAATTTGTAAAAAGCCCTTTGAAACCTTATGGGCCCGAGGGAAATCAAGGATTGATTTCAGGCGTAGCTTCGAAGTTTGTAAGTAACAACTATCTTCCGAGTGTATAACTATATCACCATCTACCGAGTGGAAATACTAAATCGATGACATTCGTAAACAAAGGGTCCGTATAGGCTCCGTAAGCACCAAAAAACACTACAAATAAGCAAAATTTTCAAAACCCGGTTCACGAGAAAAAACAATAGCAATTAACTCAGACGACGTGCGCTCAACCAATCAAGAAAATTAAGTAATCAGAAATTTTGTCCCGTATGTTGGGCAATTATCCAAACTTAAAGTTCAAGAGCTCTGCATTGATGAGTTTTCCTTAGCATTTGAAAACTAAAGAGAAATTGGCTTATTTTAAGGAGACAATCCCCTGAACATTGCAGGAGAGTTTAATGAAAAGTTACTTATTTATATGAAAATAACAGTTCTCTTCTTTTATCAAAACACATTTTACGTAACAGCTAAAATAACAAATGTTCTAATCAAAAAAAGGGACTTAACCTCGATTAATTTGTCCTTTTCGACTTGGGTACCCTTTTTAATCCTTATGTATCCTTTAAAGCTACGGTCTTGAGGGACAAATATTTCCAGTTCATTTGGAAAACGACTCTCGGGGTCCAGCTGCCATAGCCGTTCAGGTTTCCTTGTTAGATGGGATGGCATCAGATTTCTATTGGTAAAGGTACTTAAACCTGTTATGAAGAACAGTAGAAACAGTTCAGAACGAATAACTACATACGTTTAGCGAAAGTAGCAGAGATATCTTAGAAATAATAAATCGACAGGTAAAGCCAAGGGTAGCTAGAAATATTTATTAGCAGGACCTCTGCCTCTTAACGTTAGAAACATTATTTTGTTATGTCGCCAAGATATGCTGTCAAAAGTTAGGGAGGGAGCTTGAAATAAACGACTTCTGTGGTAAAACCGAGCGGGATATCTGGTGGTAAAATACTTTAGGAAGACGGAATGGAAGTTGAAAAAATTTACCACAGTTGTTTTCTGATGGTGAAACGTCGTCTACCTCATAAATTTGTAATTTATGAATTCATAGCAGGTGTTTGTTGGAGACATATCGCGCACTCTTACAGGCCGACTCTAGACTATTGTAACATCCTCCATATAAAAGTGCTTGTACCCTCGCTCTACTTAGTTAACTACAGAAATATATGTACCCTCTGCGAATGTACAAACGTCCATTTAGAAAAAACTGACGGATTTGTAGCAGAAATACGCAATGATTCAAATACTAATGACACTATACGTAAACAAATATCTTCATGAATTGCATCGAAGATGCACGGACTTACACCTCGTGAAGACCTCAGTCTCGATAAATAAGTAGTTCTACGAATGCTCAGGATATTTTTGGAAACTTCTTAACATATTTTTACCGTTTTAACATAACGTAACCGAGAATTTCTTAATTTCCGTTTCAACATTCATGATATCAATTAAATATTATGCACACTTTGGCAACGAACGATAATTTACTCCTTACCTAAGACATCAGGTAAAATAAGTTGGTTATCTCTATCATAACAAAAATCGTATCTGAGGCTCTCCTCGTTGATCTCTCCTGCCATCAACTTTTCATACAGATCTTTTTCGCACGGCTTTATCTTGCGCTTGACAGCTTTCCTATCAATAGCCATTCGTTCACCGCCAAATCGTATAAATTGACATCCCTTTGATATCTTTCGCCAGTAGTTAAACGAAAAATGCTCCCCTATTCCAAGGAGTTTGAGGATTTGTCTATTTCTTGTCATAATGAAATAGATAAGTTTGAATCAGGTTCCAAACAACCAATGCGCCCTGAATATATCACGTGACGAAACACTAATTAAAAAACCTATTTGAAATTTAAAGCAGAATCTCAAAATTAATTTCATTCATAAAGGACTTCGACAAACTTCGTACACCTGAAATCATCGGGCGATAACAACAACTGAACTGAGTTCTACATTTCCGTAAAGGTATTTTTCTGATATTTGATCATAGTTACATGATAAATATTATATTTTGACCTATGGGTGAACCTCACAGAAGAGCAGAAAGAAATTACAAAAAGAAGCCTCGTTTAGTTTTCAGTCTTCCTTTTTTTTTCGTTTTTTTTTTTTTTGTTTATTTTTCATCAGGAGTGCAATTTCAGTCGAAAGACGGTGTATCGAATGAATAAATTACTTTCGGCACCAAAAGTGATTAGTTCTAAAAAGAAAGAGAATTATTTGCCGTTGGGCCTACCGTTCTCAATTTTTTTACTCTGATTGCATGATGTTATTTTTCCAGAGGTCGGTGAGGAAACTAGAGAAGTTTAAAACGCGCGTGCTGAGTTATCGTCTAGCTTATAAAATTATTTTCCTGGCAGTCTCGTGAGGACCTCAGTCTCGATAAAATAAGAAACAAAAATCGTCTCGATAAATAAGAAACAAAAATCGTATTTGAGGCACTCCTCATCGATCTCTCCTGTCATTAACTTTTCATAACGATCGTCGTCGCGCGGCTTTATCTTACGCTTGACATCTTTGCTGACAATAGCCATTGGTTCATTGACACATCTCATAAATTGACATCCTTTCGATATCTTTTGCCAGTAGTTAAACGAAAAATGATCTCCTGTTTCAAGGAGTTTGAGGATTTGTTTATTTATTGCCATGATGGAATAGATAAGTTTGAATCAGTTTTCAGTCATGCAGCTCCGATACACCCTGAATCTACACGCGACGAAATGCTAATAAAATAAAAACTTAGTAGAAATTTAAAGCTGAAGCTCAAAATGTATTTAATTCAGAAAAGACTTCGACAAAGTCCACACACCTGCTCCTAGATCTTCGGGCGATAACACCAACTGAACTGGGTTATCCATTCCCGTAAAGGTGTTTTTCTGATTTTCCATCATGGTTAAAATGAAAAATGTTATATTTTGATCCGCGGTTGGTAAACAAGAGAAGATATGAATCTCACAAAAGAGCAAAAAGAAATTGCGAAAAGAAGTCTTGTTTAGTTTTCAGTCTTCTTGTTTTCTTTTTAATTGGGAGTGCAATTAGAGATGGTGGATCGAATGATGAAATAACTTTCGGCACGGTACTGAGTTTTGAGTTCCGTAAAGAAAAGATAATTATTTGCCTTATGGGCCTACCGTTCTCAATGTTTTTATTCTGATTGCAAGATGTTATTTCCCAGAGGTCGGTAAGGAGACTAGTAAACTTCTAAAAGGCGCCTGCTGTGCTATATTCCTATTTATAGAAAATTATTTTCCAGCAGCCGCCGCAGTAGTGATAAGCTTGTTATTCAAGTTTG